TATGCTAGGCATCTCAATGGTCAGAAACCAAGCAGCTCAGTGCAGGAAGACATCATAGGAGCACCTGGGGTGTGCAGTGGGGAAGATTCTCTTGGTGGCTTCAGACAGCCAAGTGGCTGTCATCGTGTTGTAGCACACAAAACAAATGCTTACGACACAGAGAGCACTTTGCGTATTACACATTTTCATAAACGGTTTCATTTGAAACCGGACTCCTTAGCTATTGGCTCACATTTGCAGATAAAACAGTTGGCCAGTGAAGGTGGGGTTTGGTTCATATAGAGAGAGTATGTTAGTGCCTACTGTGTACGAGTCCCTGGGAATGAAGGCAGTGGAGCCTACAGCATGGTTTGGACTTTCAAGGAATTTGGGATCTTCTGAGGGGAGGGCCCCTGTCTGAGGTCCAAGCACTTGGGAACAATCCCCCAGGGTGGTAGGAGTGGCTGCAGCTGGGAGGTGGATCTGTGCTGAGCCCCAGGATCAGGGAACATTCCAAGGAGGCGCCTTCTAGGCTGAGTGGAAATTGCTCCAGCATTCAGGAAACAGGGAGTGACTGGGTGTGGCCTGAGTGGGGGCCGTGTCGGGAGCTGAGCCTGAAAAAGAAGCCTATCTCTTAGATCAGAATAGGTTTTCCCCTTGGCGTGCCCCGAGTGGCTACCATGGCAGCACCTGTCCTCAGCACTTCTCCAGGGACTGTAGGGAGAATCTCTACTGTAGATTCACGCATGTGTGTGAAGGAGCTACTGTATATATCCTAATTCAATACTCTGCCTTCAGACCTTGCTTTAACTCTTCTCCACAAACCTTCCCCTTGTAAGGAGCTTCCACGCTGACCAACCCCCTGGCACACAGCAGGTGAGCCCAGCACTGTGGAAGCAGGTGTGGTGGGAAGTCACTTTCCCACCTCCCTTGGGGAATGCTGAGGGGCACACACCGGAGGGTCCTGTCCTCTTCCTGGGTGGTAGCTGCGTGGACACAGAGGAAAGCTCTCCCAGAGGGCAAAGTCAATGTCAAGTGGCACCTGCTTGTTCTGGGTATTGAGCACATCCCTTGTGTTAGCTCTTCTGCTCACCCAGTCCTGGCAGGTAGGTGCTTTCATCTCATGGAGCTGGCATTAAGAGCCAGCTAGGTAGTTCCAGTATCTGGATATCCCCTCCACACCTTGGAACCCTGCCAGCCTGGGGGAACCCAGTGCTAGGTTCTCAGAGCACAGGCAAGTCTTCTGAGATGGCCTCAAACGCTATTCCAAATATTCAGAAGCCAGAAAATAGGAAGTCACAGACTATGACAAGGAATTTTGATATGTCACTGGAAAGAGAAAACCCACTATAGGAAAGATGAGCTGGGAAGTGGAGATAGACCAGAAGACATACTCCCAGGACTGACCTATAGCTGTGGGGAGGAGCCAAATATCAAAATTTCCCAAAGCCAGGTTCTTCCAGGTGTTTTAAAAAATCTTGTAAGGAGGCAGAAAGGTAGAAATTTAGCCACACATAGAATGAATAATCAGCATCTCTTAAGCAACTTCACCAGGTATGGTAGCAAACACCTGTAATCCCACCACTTGGGAGGCTGAGACAGGAGGATCACTGCAAGTTGAAGGCCAACCTAGGCTACATAGTGAATTCAAGGACAGCCTGAACTGCATAGCAAGACCCTATCTCAGAAAAGGAGGGAAAAAGAAGGAAGGAAGGAAGGAAGGAAGGAAGGAAGGAAGGAAAGAAGGAAGGAAAGAAGGAAGGAAAGAAGGAAGGAAAGAAGGAAGGAAGAAAAGAAGATGAAAAGAGAAAGAAACTTCATAGTCCAATTGCTTAATGAGTTAATTAAACTCAGTGTCTTATCCTTACCCTCTCTGGATTGGATCTGAACTTCTTTGCATTTGTGGAAAGGGGAAAGGGAAGAGGGTTCAGAATCATGGTACCTGAATTAGTTGCCCTGGAGCTGTCATAACAAAGCACCACAACCTAGATAGCTTAAAGACCAGAAATGATTGTGTCAAATCCCAGCAGCTGAAAGGCCAGGGTTAAGGTGTGAGCAGCAGACACTGTGCTTTTGTGGGCTGTGAGGGAGAGTCTGTCCCAGGGCCCTTTCTTAGCACCTCGTGGTGCTGGTAGTCTCCAGTGTTTCTTGGCTTGTAGATGTGTCAGTTGATCTCCACCTTCCTTTTTGCTGTGATATTCCCCCTATGTACATGTCACTGTCTCTCTCTATCCTGATTTCCCCTCTTTGTAAGGATTAGGGTCCAGAGTAATGATGTCATCCTAATTTGATCACCCCAAAGACCTTATCTTTAAAAAAGGTCATGTTCACAGCTGTTGAAGGTTAGGACACCAGCATCTTTTGCCAGGCATACTTTAATCCATTACTGTCCCCTAGGCCAGTGTGATAGGTAAATTATCAGCCACCACCCCCATGTACCCATGAGCCACTCAGACAGGAGTAAGGACAGTGTGAGGAGCCTCCAGATCTGTCTTTTACTCAGCAGAGGGACAGCCGCTTTTGTGCCCTTGGGGGGACACTTGGGAAGTGTAAGACCCTCCCTAGGCCAATACTGAGCAAATCAGAAGCCTCTAGGTGGGTGCCAGGCAGCTTGAGAGTAGCCAGTTGTTCCAGACATCCAAGAAGCAACCTCCAAATCCCAATTACCCCAGACCTGTATGTATTTGGTGGTTAAATATGGTTAAAATAGTGTTGATATGACATTTCCCAAAATTTGTAATAGCTTTTGAGGAAGATACATATCTTAGTAAAAGAAAACACAGTGTAAAGTTTGATTGTAAGTATATGTGCCCCTATTTTAAATAGCTTTATTGAGATAGAATTCACATATCATAAAATTCACCCATTTAAAGTCTGCAGTTTGTTAACTTTCTGTGTATTCACTACATGGTGCAACCTTCACCACAGACAATATAGGACATATTCATCACCCCAAAAAGAATCCCGCACACCCCTTAGCCAGCTTCCTCCAACTACCCGCCTTTTCCCACCCAGCCCTAGATATTTTATCTCTAGTTTTCCTATATGCCTACATGCCATTTAACTATATTTTTTAATTAGAAAAAAAAAATTAAGAGAAATACAGACCAGACAATAAAACTTCCCCTGGTGAATGGAAAAATTACAAATTTAATTTTCTTTTCTAAATGTTTGATACTTTTCTAATTATGTGATGAACATGTATTGTTAATGATGGGGGAGGTAAAAGGAGGCATTTTTAAAATAAAAGATAGAACTGTCTTGTGTTAATAGTCTTTGTGGATTATTCTAAACACACTGTCCTCCAGTACTTTGGTTTGGTTTTTTTTTTTTTTTTTTTGGCACGGGGTACCAGGAATTAAACTCAGGACCTCCCGCTTGCCCGGCAAGCACTGTACCACTGAGCTAAATCCCCAGTGCTCCTCCAGTACTTAAATGATGATCTTATTTTATTGTAGGGGATCTGAGTTCTAAACAGCTTACTTCAGATTAGGATTTTAGAGCCCAACTCATTAAAAATCAGCGATCCACAGCTCCTTCTTGATAGCTTCCCCTCCTAGATGGTTCCTGTGGTCATGTGGCCTCTTGGCCCTTAACAAATTGTGGGTGGCTCAGGTGAGAGACCCTGTAATTAAGCCACATCTTTTGCCTCTTTAATAACATTGGAGACTGACAGCATCATTTTACAAGGGGACAGGAGAAATATATAATTTAGTGTCCTTTTCCTGAGCCAGTATACACAGATACATGTAAAATCTTGCACACTGCAGATGGAAAAAGTCATCTGTTGTCTTACCTATTGTGTGATGTAAGCTGTCCTGGAATAAAAGGATCCAAAATTGGAGACTCTTTGGACACATGTTCAGTTTTCTCGGGGGGTTTCACATCCTACCTTTCCTTGAGAAGGGGACATCTACACTGGGGGAAATGAGCTGGCTCAGTTTATGAGACAAACAGGCCCTGGCCACCATCACAGATCTCACCTTTTGCCCAGGCTGGAAACCCAGGCAAGTTCTCAACTCATCTGTGCTTCACATTGGCTCAGGCGTTCCAAGATTCTCTGAGTAGGCTCTTCCCTTCACATTGCCCACTTGGACAAGGCCAGCACCATCTGAGCCATGTCCTCCTCCTGGACTCCATTCATGCTGACCAGTTCCCAGATGATTAATCCCCTTCATGTACACTGATGGCCTTACTTGTCCTATCTTGACTCCATAGCTTCTGCATGTATATCTGTGTTCTTTCCATCAGACTGTTTCCATGGCATGTTACAGCCCCATCTGTGGGTTCTTAACGTGGAGTCCATGTATGGAATGTAAGTGGTTATGTGAGGGTCTTAAAATAGAATATGAGAGAGACAGACAGACAGATTGAGCTAGGAGAGGGGTCATTGGCATTTACAGAATTATTTAAGAGGATCTCCAGACTCCCAGACTGAAGAACTTTGTTCCAGTTATGTCCTTTCCCTTACATAAGCAGCATCTTACTTGTCCACCCTAGTGAACTGCTCTTGGGGACTCTGCTCACAGGTCTGCAACCTCCCTTCAAGTCCCTTCCTCCATGTCCCCATGGTACAGCCTACCTAGTGTACTCCTAGCTAAGATTTAACAGCTTGTTAGCATGCCCATTTCCCCCACCAGACTAGAGCCCCTGAGTACATACTGTGTCTCCCTGCGCTGCCCCCAGCTCTGCCTGGTGCCTCATTGAATTTGGCTCAGCACTTGGACCAGGAGACTAGGAAAGGTTCACTGTGAAAGGCCCTCGACAGTGGTCCCTTCTCAGTGGGGTGAGCACTACCCTTGCCTCAATACCAGGTTTTTACTAGGACCTGGGCGGACACTGACTGTCCCTCTGGTATAGTGGCAGGCACTTCTAAGAGGTTGACAGCCCACTTGTGAAGCACCCACATGGAAGATCATAGTTGCATCTGCTGTGGGAACTCAATAGATACCATATATAATGATTTTTAAATTGCCTCTCAACAAATTTTGAGCTGTGTCTCTTCTTTCTTTTCCTTTCAGATTGATGCACTGAGTAAAAGAAGCAAAGAAGCTGAAGCAGCCTTCTTGAATGTCTACAAGAGATTAATTGATGTTCCAGGTAAACAGGGCCCTTGTGAGCTCACCTTCAGGGCACCATGTCTGCTGAGACACTGGGGCTCAGGCTTGTTCTTCTCAGCTTTCCTTAGGGAAATGGCCCTCAGAGCAACTCCCTCCAAGAAACCAACGAGTCCAGGGAACACAAATTTTCCAAAACCCAGACTTTTAGGCATGGAAATTCAACGTGTCTGTTAGAGTAGTCACATGATCTCTAGTTGATGCTTTGTAAATACAGAAACCTAAATCACCTGAGCTACACTGCAGAGTACTACACATAGCAGAGAAGATGTGTGGGTACCACTTGCAAAGCACTCTTGGGCTATTGATGCCACCCTTCAATAGCCTTCAGGAATGTCAGGATATTCAGGAATACCCTGAATGTCAGAATATTCCTGACAGAAATGTCACTGATAGGACAGTAGAGTGCCTCACTCCCCTCTTGACTCATCCAGGATTAGGGACCTTAAGATAAGACTTTCAGTTAAGTGATAAAACTGATAGTTGTTTTAGCTATAACTAAGCATGAGGGCTGTTTTTGCTTTTAAAGGAACTAAAGAATTAAAACTTAAGAAATGTTTATTAAGCAGTCCAGGAGACAGTAACTTCCAAGTCCTTATTTTAGAAAAGTGGGACAGATTTTAGAGTACCTGGGCCCCACTCGTCCTGTTTGTCATTCTTTTGCTCCCAGATGACTTAGAATCTATAAGGGGTCACAGACACGGTCACCTGAGCCTCACCTCAGTTCTGGAAAGACTTTGATCAGATTAAGAAAGTTACATTGGTGTCGTCCTTTGCTAACCATGAAACCAGGTTACTACCACCCTTCTATCCCCTCCTGTTGGAGTTGCATGTTTGCCTATGTCAATAAATCTCTGAACATCACTGATACTATTAGAGCTACCATAGCAAAGCAGAAACAGGTCTCCTCTCTATCTGTATGTGTTCTCTAATTCAAATCTACATGGGCTTTGCTGAGCCTTCTTGGAACTGAGATTCATAGGAGCTACATCAAGCCAGGGACAAGAGAAAATACTTTAGACAGTGGGGAGATCCAGAATCTCTGGCCATGTACTTGTTATGAGGTCTTGATCATCTTCCTTCTCCTTTTGGATCTGTTCCCTCATTTGTAAAATGGAACAGAGTGGAGGAATGGTCTAAATAGTGGAGAATGGTTTTCTTTGTTCTAAGTCTTAGGGGCTTACCCAGCTCTTGGTTCTACATTCTAGCCTTAGGATTTTTTGCAAGAATTTGTATTTGACTAGTGATTTCCTGAAGACTGACCAAAGCGCACAAGGATGCTCCCTGGATGTAAATAAGTTATTTGGTACACAGGATACAGTGTTTCTCAGCTGTCAGCAGTGTGGACATCACTCATATTTTCTTACATGTGAGGTGGTCTCTGAGAATTTTGTTTGTGAACTGCGTCATATCCATACTGACTCAAGGGTTGAAGAATTTACAGGGAAAGTAGAGCCTGGCCTTTGATAAGCACAACTTTCTATTTCCAAAGAGTTAATTCTTTATGTTGGCTCCTCCTTTCAGGAGGGTTCTATTTCCTCTGTTCCTAGCACCTCCTGACAACGTGGGATCTCAGGTGTGTTCCAGCAGAGAGCTCAATACCTGTCATGTTGGTGACTTGGTTGAAGAGGAGCTGGCTTATTTCTCTTTGCTAAAGACAGAGAGCCTTGAGCTGCTGTTTTCTAAATAACCAATACTCTCTTTTCAAAAAGTCAACTCCATACCAGGGTTTCTCCATTATGAACTTTCCTAACTAGGTAACCTTTTAATAAGTTGTTAGGTTTCCTTTTCTGCAATTATTTTTTGAGTCTTAATTTTCTGTAGAATGCAAAAAGACAATTTTTCCATATCAGTGTTCTTGTTTGAGCAAACGTTGTTCACATACACAGACAAATTTTACAGAATTTTTATCATAACATGGGTATGTATTTATATTCTGCTTTTTTTACTTAACATTTTACCATAGCGTTTATCCTATCTTAATGAATCATTCTAGGCTGCAGAATTAAAAGTTGACAATTTAAATTTAAGATAGTGCAAGTAAATAAGATTTAATGTTTTCTATGATAATAAAGTCAATCAAAACACATCTATATTCCACATAAGTGACATCTGTGTATGGCTTCCCAGGTATTTCTTACAAATGCTGTGGTCTGACATAAATAACAAGTTACTTAAGAATCAGGAAGGGTGCTCCAAGCACTCCCCCTGTATTTTGAAGTCTGATTATTGCTCAGATGAAGTAATCCTGTGGTGGAGGCTTACAGGAAGGCTCTGGTCAATATCACTGCATTTACTGACAACCACACAGCTGGGCGCAGGTTAGGTTGCCTACACTGTCTGTGCTTCAGGCTTTAATCCTGAGGAATCCAGAAGCACTCATGGGTGTGTTAAGGGCTCCTGGTTGCAAGAGACAGCAGCTCACACTATCTCTGGAAGCTGGAGGAAGCCAGCAGGTATTCCAGCTATGTGCCACATGGCTCAGCTCCAAGAGCTCAGGGAGAGTAGGCAGCCACCCACAGAAGAGGTGGAGATGTGTCCCACCAAGACTGAAATCAGCAAAAACCTGACTGAACCTGCCCCACCCGCCATGGCTTCCTGAGATTTCATTTACCCATGCATGTTCTTCTTTCTTGTCTGTTAATCCTGCTGCAGAACACACTCCTCAAGGACAGCATTTTGCCTTATTGCTCTATATCCAGCACATGGCAAGTGTGATGTGCTGAATGACTGAACCAATCATTGACCCAAAATCTCCCTTTCCCAAGTCTCCAGAAGCAGCATTCTAAAGGATTACCCTGGAGACTGGCAGCTTTCTCTCTGCTCTGGTTCTCACTCCCAGGAGCCAGCCTGCATGTTCAGCTGCCCCCAGCACTTTCTTGCTGGGATTGCTGAATGGGTACCCACCAATGTCGTGGAAACTGTCTTTTCCCTGCATCCCTGCTTTTAGCAAGCAGTACCCCCTCTCTACCAATTGTTTATGCCAGGGCATGTGGTCACCAAGACCTTCCCATCCCACCTTGTGCATGTTCTTCCATCCTACTTTTCTCCATCCTGGTTCCTGCCCTCCATTCCATGGCTGAGGAGAACACACAAGTCTTCCTGTTCTCCAGCATACCCGCTATGCTGCAGGAAGCTAGACTGCCTTCTTGCCACAGGCCTGCCCTGCCCTTCCACATCTGCCTTCCGTATCAGTTGATCAGTTGGTCTCTTTCCCTCTGTCTCTCTCTCTCTCTCTCTGTCTCTGTCTCTCTGTCTCTCTGTCGCACATATACATAAACACAGGCATGCACACCCCAAGCCTAGTACATTGTGTTCACTTTGTTATAACTACAATCGTGCTCTGCAGCACAACATTTGGTTGACAGACCACATATCTAACAGTTAATTACTCTGTCTCCTAGTGATGTGTTACCTTTTTTTGTTTGTGTATACATGCTCTACGGTGTATACAAACTTTGAAGACACATTTCTCAGGATATCCAGGGTAGATGGGTAACTAACTGTATTTGGTAACTATTCTTTCTGGCAGATAGAATTGTCCCTAATCAGTTCTTAGTGTCTGCCCCAGTGCCTGCCATGTAGCAGAAAGGCCATATATATTTGTCAAATGGATTCCTAAATTAATGGATCAAATTATTTCTTCCAAACACACTCTGAGTTTCTTTGATTTGGTCTTTAATTGTTCACATGGAACGGTACTCCTGAGATTGATGCATCCCATTGAGAGTGAGGACCCCAAAGCATTAGGAGCATTAGACAGTGTTAATTGCAAGAGAACAGAATTATCTTTCATTGCGTTGTAGCAGTTTAATGGCTCTCTGAACTCTCATTTTGCTTTGGTGTCACTCCATAAAGATTTACATGCCTGCATAGGCATTTACACAGCACTTAGCATGCAGGGTCTGTCCAACCAGCACCCACACTTTTGCGGCCTTCACTTTTGGAGCCAGCACTTAACGTCTATCCAGCATCTGTACTTGGTATAACAGCTGTCTTAGGCCTGAGTGTGGGATCTCTTTCTGCTGTGGCCCATCTGCATCCCACCATTTCTCCCATGGGCTGATTTGGCTTGTCCAAGAGAGAAAACTGAGCCATACTGGCTCCTCCCTATTCATCTTCCACATCTCAAATCCCAGAATTTCCAGAATCATCTTCATGTCAAAGACAGTGACTACCCATTTGAATACATATAGTGAAGACCTCATAGTTCTGACCTTTGTCACTTGCCACCAGATTACTTCTCATTCCTTAGTCAATTTTCAGAGTATTTCCACTTTTTAGTCTCCTTAAACCCTAACATGTTCTTCCAATCTGCTGTGACCTTCATCTCCTTGGTAATGCTGTTCACTGCTGAGACCTCCACACATCCCTACCATGTGTCCAGAACAGGGCTATGTCCTGTTGGATTCCTGCTTTCATGAGCCTTATTCTGGTGGGCATATGAGCATTATCAGGTCATTATATAAATAAATACTGAGTTCAAGATGTGATAAATGTGACCAGCAAAGCCCTCCAGGCAGTGAGCATATAAAAAATAAGGAAGATTGTGCAGGGCCAAGGACAGCTGCCCTGGGGTATGCACCCACTGAGGTGGAGTGCACACACAGAAGGCAGGTTATGCCTGAATAGAGCCCAGCCCTGGGCTTATGGCCAACAGAAGAGGGCCCTGGGATAACCACGTCCCACAGCATCCAGACCATGGCACTCATCACAGTCGCTATTAGTAATCCTGCTGAGTAGGGGGCCCTGCACCAGGGCAGAAGACCATCTTGCTACAGGGCCAGATGAGGGCCTGTTCAATTCCTTGAGTATTTCTGGATGTTTCATAACAGAGAAACCCGTCCCAGTTTTAAGCGGGGACATGGTGTAAGCTAATTGGTGTTTGGAAAGGTCATCCAACTGCACTGGACATCCAACTGCACTGGATTGAAAGGACAATGTGGGGATCAGCAGGCAAGGAGAGATGGGACACTTGGTTTA